GATATCGAGCATCTGCTGCGTTATACAGATAATTTTTGGTTTGAGAATAAAACACAATTACGTGGGTAATCATTTCTCAATTGAGTGTCTATTATTAAGACTACGAGAGACAAAAGATCACTGCCACGAGTTTGTACCACTCGTAAGCATACGCCGGGAAATTCTGTAATCCAATATACTATTGCCTGTTGACAACTTTATGTATAGCAACCGGAATGTTACAGTCCTACCCCATCATTATTTCTTGATACCCTTTTATGCTGCTGACGTTGTGTTGCACCTTCAAAATGCTGAAACTCCGGAAATAATGAGCAGCAACTATTGCAAGAAATTGTAATTTCTAATTCATCTTTGCCGAAAGATCCAAAGGATTTTGCAGATATGGCCTGGCATCACTGAGATGAGTAGTAGGCCTAAATTCGGTGGCACTCACAGCGAAGGATTTCAAGAGGAGGCGCTGGTTCAGCCGAGTAGCTAAGAAATCCCAAATCCACAGTCCATACAAAGCGCACTGCTTGGCTACATGAGCTGAAGAATTAGTGGCATTAAAAAGATAGATAGCCTTTGAGCTTAACTCATAATGGAATGAGGTGAGAAATTTTCTCATGTAATACGACTCTACAGTATGTGTATTGGTTGCAAGTGTATAATGCCCAAGTCCGTCCCTTGCTAGTGCGGACGCGTGTCCGGACCGAGTCATCATAGATGCTTGCTGTCTGCAACATGCTCCTTTCGACTTGTTCGCCTGCGGCCAAAAAGTCCTGGGACCAAGCATGTAGAGACAAGAGCTTATTTATGGTTATTTCTGTTTCATACCGTGGATAGCTAACCTTCGTGTGGACGGCTTTCTATCCTGTATTTTACCGACTCGTACGAGTTCGGAATACAGGCATTTTAAACGAAAACACCTCTACAGCCAAGTAAGATTACACGGCCTTTGTCATGTTACTAGTTGAATCGCTACTACTATTAATGAGTAGGCCTGCCCCGTATGTTTCGGTAGATGAGAGATACGAATGAGATGGTGGGCAGCTGCCCCACCCGCGGGAACATTGTGGCAGACCAAGATTCCGTGAGGGAGGGGGACAGGGTCCGGGTGACGGGGCCGCGGCCGAGAGCCTTTAAGGACACGCCGCGATGCCGCTGGCTCCGAGCAAGGGTGTGGCCTTCACGCTTCCAACATAAACTTCTTTTGTAGCGCTACTGATTCCCTCATAATGCGCTAGGCAATTTTCTCCCGGCCGTAGTCTCGCACGGGCCGCGTCTACCGGAAATCCCATCCGTTAGTGGATTTGACGGTATCCACATCTGCGACGCAAGTGACATTCTGGGCATTCTGCAGCTGAACCAACGATCATAGATGTGGAGAGACAGCGAAAAACCAGCGATGAGTTTGCCGACCTGGTCGTCTTCCGTTGGGGGGGGGGCAATTCAACGTCTGGGGTTCCACACGAGGGAATTCATGAGTTGTCCGAAGTCCTCCCAGCATCCGGGGGAACAGGTTCCTTCCTAGCCCCAGGGGTCTCTCTGGGGGATTCTGGGCGTGGCCACGACGGTGTAGTGGTCAGAGCCCGTGTTCAAGGTAGCATTCACGTAAGAGAAAACCTCGTAGTTGGAGAAGACCAGGTCAATGCACCGTCCAGAGTCTCTAGTGGGGGTTTCGGTGAGGGCTAGAATGAGATCGAACTCCTCGGCCCATCCTGCAAGTTTGTTGCCTGTCGCATCAGCGTCCCTTCCTGGTTGCCTAGTCCAGTGAACCGCGTTAAAGCCTCCTGCGATGATCGACCCTGTGGGGAAAGGGCCCGCCCCATTTAATGAAGGTCTCGGTGGTGATATCTTCCGCTGCGGCAGACGTTGACGATCGTGTATCCAGATACCTCGACCCAGCAAACGCACCCATCTCCAGTCTCCGGCGGGGGGACTTGCTTACTAGGTAGGTTAGGGGACTTTGTAACGAATGTAAGTACTGAAGATCTGGCTTCCTTCCAGTCGTTAAGGTGTTTTCGGCAGCCTCAGTTGTGTGTAGACACTAATTTTGTGGACACAGCTTCCTTAATCACTAAAATCGTCCAAGACTCCTCTTTTACTTTCCGTTTCCGGATTGGCATGCACTCTTTCTTTTCCTTCTATTATTTCTATGCTGGTTTGTGATTTATCTGCTTCTTATTCTTTTGAAAGCTGGGATTTCCTTTCCCTTCACCAAGCGGAGCTTGTTTCCCGCCCTCTCTTGTTTTCTTCAATGTCTGTTGCTTTATTCACTATAGGATTGGCATATTCCTCCATTAACCAGGCTGGAGACATAGACGCCGCCCCCACCGTTATCAATAATAAGGATGGTGAGAGAGCTGTTCATAGCCTTGTCTATACATATTCTAATTAAGTTAATCGCCCCCTCCAGCTAAGCCTGCTTCTCCTCTATAGGAATAGACACACCACAGAATGTGTTAAATAGCTCGTTGTAAAATTTTCTGGCCGCAGTTCTTGCAGCTCCAGGACAACTCAGTCCAGATTATATTACGCTAAGGATGTAATGCCTGCATAAATATGGCAATATCACTCTGCTTTATATGGACTTTAACTGAAGGTTAGTTAAAGCCGAGTAAGTAATGAATCTCCTAGGGGCCCTGATAGGAGAATCAGTTAGCTAGTCTAAATCAGGGGTTTGAAACGGCAACGTGTTTCACCAGGTGTAATAAGTCTCGAAAGGTCCCGACAGTGCCGCTTCTCAAAGGCCCATTCTCAGCTGACATCCAGGTCCGTAGCACTATCCGCCGGAATAATGTTCCCATATTGNGGGGGGGGGGGGGGCAGCTTCCATTCTCCTACCGCACCAGAAATACCCTGCTTTATCATAATATTGAACCCCTTTCCCGTGATGGTTTCCAATGCGCACCCACGTAAAGTGTAAGTGGTGTTACTCTAGGCCGGGAAGTGTTGCAGCGCATAGATGGAGTATTGCTCCAAAAGATAAACAATTCTGTGGGTCAGAGAATTAGATAGAAGCCATCATCCTGTATACAGATTTGGAATAGCATACCTCGACGAGAGTATAAACGTCATCTTTCAAATCGCAAGTGAGTATCTCGCTTTTATTCAGGTGCAGAAGTACAGAGGTATGTTTAGTGGCTTGGGGAGGCATTTGCATTGATAAGTCGCCGCTCGTTGCTCTTCAAGGTTCTCTCATTAACAGTTAATCCCATAATTTATGGATAAGAGTCAATAATCGCGAATAATGCCCACCGCATGGCTAGAGAGCTCACTCAGTGTCATGTTTTCCCACTTAATTGCGTTAGTATCAGCATAACACAAGCCATCGGATTCAGTGCTAACGGGTGAATTCGCAAGTTCAGGGACGTATTAAGCGATTGGAAGGTCAAGTATCACCTCCCGCTTCTATGAGAAATCTCTGCCGGCTAAAATCTTAGGGGTGCTCCTGATGCGGAAAATCTATTCTTGTTCGCGTTAATCTTGGGCATTCCATCCTGACAATTCGTGTCGTGGCAGCAACGGTCGCAGTGATCAACCATCCAATTAATGACATTATGATTGATGTCAACATTATTATGATTGGTCAATGATACACGGAAAGAAGGGGCAAAGAACTGAAGGGCGGAAATTTTATAGAGGAGAACATGGAGTTGGCTGCATGGCAATAAACAGGAGGTAGCCCAAAGACGATACTGTTATTGAAAAAGAGGGGCATGATTTTCGAGCGGCCCGTTGAAGACGGGCACCAATGCAAAGCTTTATTAGCTCTCAGTACAGCTCCACTTTGGAACACTCATAACCCACAAGACTCTCGCTGATCTTCATAAATAAACGCGGGGTTACCGTAGATCTCCCGGGGTGGTGTAGAGGGCGGGGCGATCATTCCATTATAGCCAGTGGGCCTATTTAACCCCCCACAAGTAAAACATGCCTGACAGCTACCAGAAAACAAGAACGGGCCAGCACTTATTCGTTCTAAAAAATTACCCTCATTGTAGCTCATGCCTCTTACCTTACGATTTTTGTATCACCATTCTACATGCCAAGCCCCCGCCCTTTGCGCAGCATGAACTACCCTACACGACCGATGCCGTAGCATCGCAGACAATGTTTCGTACTCAATAGAAGCAAGGGTTCAATATTTTGCTCATGCTACATAATGCGAAAAACACTAGTTTCGTGTCCGTATATGCCATTAGTCGTAGCTACGAATTGTTTCTACTTGGGGCATACTTGGAACATTTACAGATCCGGCTAGTAGAGACCGCTCACATCACGATTGGAAGCACTATAAAGTACCTTTCCGTCATAAACGATGATGTCTTCGCTGTTTTCGAATGCCTCGCTAGCACTATGTGGGTATGCTACGGCAACTTGGATGTCTGTGACCTGACCCCTTAGCGGACCTCATGCTGCCTGCCAAACCTGGGTACATAGTATTGGGGACTCTGTCGACTTAGTGACGCTGATGGAAAAAGTCAAGGGTAAGGATAATGAGTTTCAAGACATCCTAGAATAAATTCGCTGCTTGACAATTTCTAGAAGATCCCCACCACAACTTTTAGAACTAATCAAGGGATCACTAATCCAGAGAGGAGATCTAGCGGCTACAACGTAAGATAAAATGTTTTAAAATATGGGGATAGTATTTGCTAAGGTCAAGGGGATATGAACGACACTATAGTACAATATATATACTGGCTATGCCTTGTATATATACCACAAGTTGATAACAGAGTAATGATTCCTGAATTAACACAAATCCTGAATAGCTATAGCTAGTTAATTTTCTGCGTAAAAAGCTATCCACTAACGGTTATGTTGAGGTTAGCGCACACGAACTCATATATAAGTCATTCCGATTTTCTAAAGCTGAGAACGCCTGATGATGTAGGTGACAGTCAGATTAAAGACTCCATCCCTTTTTTTCAGCTTTACATTCGTTTACCTTATTTTGCATAATTTCTTTCCATATTTTTTTTCTTTTTTCTTTTTAGGGGGTGAGGGTAAACATGTTTTTCTCAACCTCCAACTTCGGCGTTCACAGGTACATCATAATAATGGTTAAATCTTTGCCTAAACTTCAATATTTAGGTTATACTATACCAAATACTCTCTTAGCGAGGCGGTTATCTTCTACAACGCCAAAGCCATGACAGCTTGCGGACACCTCGCCAACACAGAGTCTACGACGCGGAAGCGGTCGGGGCCTTCGAGGCGATTAAACTGGCCAAGCTACGAATTGCCGACACCCCTGATATCAACGAACTTGTACTATTCTTGGACAAATCGGCTGTTGTCGATGGAATTCTAGGCACCACCTCCGCCTCATCACAAGGGGCGTACATGGGCATCAGAAGAATCGCCAAAGTAATACAATCCAGATTTACACCCGAGTTGCGTGGGTCACGGGACAAAGACATATATGACAACGAAACGGCGGATGCACTGGCTAAGGGGGTTCAGGAATTCCAAGACCCCCCAAAATCACTCCACCATAAACCACATAAAGAGGTAAGTTAGGAAGGAAAGGAGGCTGCTCCAAGAGCTAGTTTAGGGCGACAAAACCCCTTCCGTCTACAGAAAGGTGCGTCTCAGCGCTCACTCCATGCCCCCGAGCTCTGACTCACCGTCCCATCCTGCAGAATGGCCAGGCAAGGATAGACGGGCAGGCTTTACACAGCACACTTACCTCCTTGGTCCCAAGGGATACCTGAAGTTCCAGAAACTAGTGGATAACACAAGCCGATAATTCCCCTCCCCCAATAAAAAAAAAAAAAAAAGCCCTCACCCCCCAGTCCCAATAGTTACAGATATGAAACTTAGTGAACGCAGGATATGAACACGCGGCTCATACGGAACTTTTGCCCGGATGAGGCTTTGTACGGCTGGCTTTACTTACTGGACGTTAATAATTAAACAAAAAAACAAAAAAGCCCAAGTACTCTGGATCTGTAGTTGTATTAGACGTGCAAATGAACGAGAGCCGGAACTAAAGCTCAACGAGAAAACCCCTGTTAGAAAACCGCAAAAATATATACGAGTATTTTCAGCTTTCACGTAACACACTTCGCTTCCCAAGCGATATGTGCTAGATTGCGATAGCTGACATGCTAGAGACAAGGCCTATGAAGCGCCTCAGCAGCAGCCGTCTCATATGTAGCGTGAATCAGCATCGTACTGTCCAAGGGCACGGGGCGAAAAATGATCCTTCCGTCCTCCTACCGACGATTTTAGCGGCGGGCTAGGCATGTATTCCTTCAACCGACTTGACGGGATCTCTAGTGCTAAACCTTGCCCAGGTTTGTAGCCCAGGTTCGTAGTGATGGCGTTCGCTACTCCTGTCAGCCAATTAATTATGGGAGCTTTGCGGATGTGAGTTGTGATAACTCCCAGATTCTTGTGGCTGCATGTTAGCGATTGCAGCTTTCTGGGGTGCGATTTCAGCTGGGTCAGTTAGATACTTGTATACAATAAGTGGAGACTCGGCACTTGCACTCCCTGTCTAGTTGCAGCAATGTCATTCGTCCACGAGAGCAGCGACAGGCGGAAGCGCTTCCGACCGCTGGTTCAGTCTTATGGCCAACGTGCAACATACGTACTCACTGTAACATAAATCGAACTGGGGCGCTCACTGCCGATCAGTCATTCCCCTGGACTTTCCCCATCTCCATTATCAAATGGCAAATCATTCTTTCATCGCTGACACAACTATCATCACCTTTCTCCCTTACTTCGTCTCTTAGCAAGAAAGCACTTTTTTAGTCCAATGGCGAATCAGATACAAACCCGCACCTTTGGCTCAGCCAATCAGGCTGACCTTCCCGATGAATCCTCAACCACCATTATTGTCTTTCTGTCTTTAGCCTTCTATAATGTTCTTGTGCTTTTCTGTATTATATTTGGTACATTTAGGCGCTATTCTGGGCTTTATTTCTGGGCTTTTGTGACGTCGACAACTGGCATTGCCCTGTCTTGCTCTGGCTTCATGATCAAGTTCTTCAGCCCAAAGTCGCTTGGTTACTTATCGTGTACGCTTAGTTTGGCAGGGTGGGTATGCATGGTTACCGGCCAGTCGCTGGTGCTTTGGTCACGGCTGCATCTGGTGATGCGGAATCCAAGGCTCCTTAGGATCATACTGTGGATCATCATCGTCGACGCGATTGTCTGTCATGGCACCATTATCCCCATGGTGTATGGTTCATTTTCTAACAACCCCGAAATATTTGCAAAGCCATACTCCATCGCCGAAAAAATGGAAGTCATCATCTTTTTTCTACAAGAAGTCATGATATCTATCTTTTATATTGTTGAGACAGTCGGCATTATGAGAATCGAAAATTTTCTTGGAAACCATCGATCAAGTCGAAGATTGATGCAGCATCTCGTCATTGTTAACGTTCTCGTCATACTTCTTGATAGCACTATCATAGTACTCGAGTTCGCAAACCTATACGACTACCAAATATCATACAAACCATTCGCCTACAGTGTGAAACTACAACTTGAGTTCTCTGTACTGAATCGCCTGGTGGATATAGCAACTGGCAGAAAAGAATCAGATAGCAGTCAACGAAGTCGAAATCTTTACTTTTCAAAGAAGAATACTACTGGTACAGTATTTGAGACAGGCAATTCTACCGCCGTCGAATCGCAACAAGCGGGTGATATGATTCCCTTGGATACATACAACGACACAACAAAACCATTGCCGCCGCTCCACACAAACACTGGAATCACAAAGACTACTACTACCGCAACGCATATTGAAGAACGACCGGATCCTAGTTCTGAGAGTACTCGTAGGATATGGCCTGGGGGATCAGAGGACGGCATGTCACGAACTGGCAGCAGGAACATGAGCTTAACATCAACAGTAGATTTTTCCTCTCGCGAGTAACAATATGTTATAAGTAACTGTTACGACCCGATCCGAAGTACCTACCCACTGGGTAAAATATAGAGGAAACGATCAATTAGAATAAGTCTACGAAAGCTTACTAAGATATATACCCAGTAGTATATAAGCTTTAACATTAAGGTAGTAGGCTTACTAAGTATAAGGAGACTTTATAAAGTAAGCTGTCTAAAATAATTAAATATATAAGATTTAATTCTCTATACTTTTTAAATAACTTAAATAAATAGTTATTAATAAAGTATTAAGATTAAATATAAACTAAATTTTTATTATATTTTACTTATTTTATAATTATATTTACTT